TTCACCCCCCCCCCCCTTCACAAGAACGAGTCTCATCTCTTAGGGCCCCTTAAATCCGATCATACAACCACTGAAAGGCGGCGGTAAGACTTTGATCACAGATTGGTCGAGAAGTATGATGTCTGCACCTAGTACTTGCATAAGTCATATACTTAGCATAGTTACCTCCGATCGTAGTGGTCAAGAATCAAACTCGAGTCTTACCTCCTTATCACTTCTTGCCTTTGCCAATTGTGTAATGTTATCTCATCTTATGGAAGTTAAGCACAAACAATTGGAGTATTTTGATAGAAAAAAGATGGAGCGCCCACACCGATCTGATTTAGCAATGATGAGGGGGTAAATCACGGTATAAGATTAGTGATCTGACAAAAAAATGAGTGCATAATCCCTTTTAATTATATGGTGCTTGTCATTTTGTTTATGAGAAACTTCTACGAGGCGTGACCGCTACCAGCGATGCCATTTCTTCGGTGTGATGATCTTTTAACAAAAGATATAAGGAAATCTAATTTAGGGTTCCTTTTCCCATTTGCACATCTTTGTTACAAGCTCCAACTTGGGGAATGTGTTAAAAGATTGCCACAGTTTCAATTTTTTGTCAAATTGTGACAGCCTTTGAGCATAAATTAAATATAATTTAAAATAATAAAATATTATAAAAGTTTAATATTTCAAAACTATATTTTAAAATAAATCTAATTTTACTAAATTTACATTATAACTAAGTATATTTTTTTTGCTATAATTCGTGGTCAAATGGTGCCACAGTTTGATCAAAAAAATCAAACTCTGACGATCTTCTAGGGACCGAGGTAGTATTTTGGGATGTATTACATCCATTCTAGCATATTTGTTCGGTTTGATTTTTTCAAGTCAAACTGGATGAATTTTGATTTGTATTGCATGTTTTTATAATGAAATACATGATAAAATTTTGCAAGTTTTCACAAAAAAAGTAATAAAATTGTTTTTATACTGGACAAATTATTATATTTTCATATTCCACACCATTTGTAATTTTTATATGGAGTATAATTGAAGCTCAAAGTTCTTGGTTTTTGAGTAAAAAAAGTTAAACTGGACAAATATACTTAAATCGAGAGAATATCATTATTTATGAAGTACTCCGTATTAGATAGACAAATTCTTCTGTGGACTTGAGGTCCATACTCATTATATGGATCTTAGTGCATTTGTAGTATAAAAGAAGTGAGCATTTTCTTATGGAAAATTCTTTTTCTTATAGAGTTTTGTTTCCTTTGAAAATGAATATTGGAATTACGAAAGGTAAGGAGCACTAAAACAGTGGTAGAAACTTTTTAGAAAATTATTCCGGGGTACCATCGTTTTTGTGGTAATGACTCTCAAGTTCCACATTATCTAAAATTACATGGTATCAGAGCCTTGTTGACTAAGAGGTCACGGGTTCGAAACTTAGCGCCACCCAGTTTAAAAAAAAATTAAGGTTTCACGTGCAAGGCTTGAAAAAGACTACGCCTGCACGTGAGGGGGCGTGTTAGAATATAAATAAATGTTCCTGGGCCACAACCACAAGCTTGAGCTTGTGGTTGAGTTGGTTCCTTGACAAAAACTCTCACGTTCTACATTATTTGAAATATACAATGAGAGTCTTTAAAATTAGTGGTAATGTACTCTTTGGGTATATTCTGTCTATTTTATCGTTGGATTAAAGTTTTGGTACTTTGACAAATATTACTCCCCCTGTCCATAAAAAAAGTTTCTGTTGCATGTTACGATATTTGACTGAAGTTATTTTTAAATCATTTTATACGAAAAATGGTATGGAATTAAAAAATAAATATAACATATTTAAAAACTACATGAAAAGATCTACAAAACTAGAGGTGACATGACTCTATTATTTTATCAAATAGGACATGAAAACAGGTCAACAAAGTGAATAAATTTTAGCTTCATAATCATTATTTTATTAAATTTAAATAAAATACTTGAGACTCTCAAAGTTAAAAAACTTTCAATCATAATGCCTAAATGGACGGAATATACTCTCGAAGTATAATATCACAAATTTTAAGTACCCTAAAATATACTTTACATAATGTGCGATCTGAAAGTTCTTACCAAAAAATTGAAAGTACACCGGAGTATATTTCAAACAATGTGAGATTTGAGAACCATTATCAGAAAATCTAGGCTAGCCTGGAATAATTTTATGGAAACTTTTGCTTGATTATTTACTCAGCTCTGGGTGCATTGTTAGCAAGCTCCATCATCTCTGCATTCTAAATCAAAGCAGCTTCATCACAAATCACAATAGTCAACAACAACTGCCAAATAAGTTGAAAATCCATCCAAATTTCAGATAAATTATACAGTATCTATGAAGTACAAAAGCAAAGTCTGACAGCTCAAACGAAAACTATGTTGAAAAAATATTGATGAGATAGATGTGTCCGCTTAGGAAAATGCTAAATTTTAAATTTAAATTTTATTTTTTTTCAATTTTCCTTTTTTCTTAGGCTTTTCGTCTCCCACGGCCAAAATTTCCAAATCTCCCTTCTCCCGCTTCAACCTCTACAAGCTCCAGAATTCGGACAACTCCAATTCAACGTCCTTTTTCTCCGTCGAGAGCATAGCATTGCCGGCAGTGCCACTCCTCCAGCTCCAGCGCAGGTCTGCGGCTGGCCAGTCTCGAAGCCGGCATCTGCGAGGAAGTCTACGGCAGTCCAGCCCTCCAACTCCAGCATCGGCAGCCCCACCCCTCAAGCTCCAGCGCCGGCAGCCCCACCCCTCAAGCTCCAGTGCCGGCAGCCCCACCCCTCCAGCTCTAGCGCGCGGCAGACCTGCATAAGCCCGAACAGGTACTGACGCTAATGTAGTTGTGGAATTGATAATGGTATGTTTGTGTAATTTTAGATCTCCATAATGCAGTTTCAGTTTGATGTTCTTTTTCATTGAAACTAGGTATTCCAAGTTTCTTTGAATGATCTAAATGTTTCTAAAATTGATATAAAAGCCATTCAAACATAAAAGAGGTTTTATTTTGAATGATATAGATGATTAACTTCTATTATTTGAACTTCATATAAGATTATTGTCTATGAAATAGGTTTGCTTGTTATTTTTGCTTACTGTGTGAATTGTATGGCATAGATGGTTAAGTTCTGTTATTTGAACTTCATATAACATTATTGTCTGTGAAAGAGGTTTGCTTGTTATTTTTGCTTACTTTCTATGAATTGTTTCCCACGACAATTGAACTACAGTCCAAAGGTGTTGGCCACGTCAATCGAGACTTCTTCCGTGATCTTGTAGATCAGGAAAAATGGTTAAGGAATGATGTTAGTAAGCTTTATTGGTTAAATTAATTTCCATATCTTGACATTTAATAACTGGTTTATGTTATATGTTAAGCATCTGGAGGCTATTATGGACAATATGATGGAAGTTCTCAATGGAATAGAGTGCAAGAACTTCACTGTTGTTGGACCAGTGTTTGTGGTAAGGCCATTTTTCTTAAATTTTGATTGTGCTAAAGATAAGGATATGTTCAAAAGTCTTATGTTTATTTTGTATAGAACCACTTACTACGTATGAATGCCGATGAAAGAGTTTGGTCTAAGGATAAGTTCTTAAGCAAGTTTGATTGGTCTGGCGTTGAAAAGGTAATATGCTTCTTTAGACTTCCATGCACTTAAACTCATGTGAATCTCTCTTCACATACATAAACTGTCTGTGTGTTTTGTAAAATAGACAGTAAGCTCTTTTTTTCTCCCTTGATGCGTAGATTTTCTTGCCCGTGAATGGAGATGGGAGACATTTCGTTATGGTACTCCCATGGAGTGGTGAAAATCATACTCCCTACTTATTTTAATACTATTTTTCCTTGCAGGTATGCCAATTGTGGAGTGATGGTGCTAGCATTTCTAGAGTATTTGTTGCTAGCCTTACCATTAAGCCCGGACTGCAGTTCTGAACACATGGCTGATTTCCGATGTTAATTTGCAGCTAGGTCACGGCGTGGAAGGAAAACACCCAATATTTAGCATTTTTACTTTACAATTTTAGGGGTCTTTAATTTTTGTGAAACTCTTTGTAATGGTTTATGTGCTTTGTAATGTATTTTTTTGGGGAAACACTTTAGGCTTTTTTGAAAGCTTTGTAATGAGGCTTTTATAATCATGAATTTGTACTTGTTAATGCACAATGTGTTAATGTATGGGATGACTGATTTACATTAGTTTATGAATGATTTAAAGTTTTACTATCAGAGCCCTCACAGAGAATAACTGTCTATTTTATCCATTTCACAGAGATTTAATGTATGTGACGACAGAGTTACATAACTTTATGTACATACACCATCTTCAGAATCTTATCACATATGTGGGGGTCTTGTAAAGGTAAAAAGAAAGTTAAAACGCATACATTAAATTCAGCGGGCTCACATGGAATAACTGTCTATTTCACACACTTCACAGAGACTTAATGTATGTGAAAACAGAGTTACATCAGGTTTACATCAGTTTATGTGCATGGAACTCAGAGAAAGTTATCATATTTGTTACATACTTTACACAAAAAGCAAAAAGCTATGTGATTTACAGTTCCCATGCTCAATCCAAAAATGAGAGCAAAGTTCTAGATCTGATGCCAAAAATGGACAATTAAAAGTCAATGTAGTGAAATGCCAAGCTCTCAGACGTCGTGATGCAAAGATCTCAAACGCATCCATTTTCTTCCTCTTATTAGGTAGCTTATCATTTTTTCTACCTTCTTTCGGTTTCGGGTTTTTCTCTGCAAAAAAACAACACCTTTAATATAGTACAATGCCTGACTATGAAGAAAACAAAAATACACCAAATACAGAGTGCATACAGATTATTAGCATCTGTGACAAGGACAAACCCTAGGTTCACAGAACTTTAATCTTTGTAACACCAAAACAAAATAGTATTTTTTCACTAATTCAAATGAATATAGAATGAGGTCTAAATATCAACACTTACAACTGGGCTGCAAATCATATAAAACCAGATCTTCTTCTTCACCACCAAAATCATGTAGTTGATCATTCTCAACATGTGTAACAATATATGTTTGTAAGTCCATAATCACCAAATACCCTATGTACTCCACAAAAATTCAAAAAATTATTGCTATAGAAATTGACTAAAAATGGAATGAAGAGAAGAGATTGACAGAGGGATGGTCGTGCTACAGGGGTTGGCGCATCAGAGATATGAAGAGGAAGATAAGAAAAAGAAGATATTACCTGCCTTGTAGGAAGGAGAGCGCAGAAAAGGAAGAGGAGAGTCGTGCGACTGGCTGGCGCGGAAGAGCAGAGCCGCCAGGCAGCGACGTAGAGGAAAGAACAAAAGAAAAAAAGAAAGAGAAGGTAAAAAACATGTTAAATAGAGAGGCATCAAAGGAGGCAATGGTGGGTGCACTGTAGCACGGTCCGTCCGCTTAATTAATGAGTCTCATACTCACATAAGTCATGATTAATTTATACGAAAAAATGATGAGCCTCATCCCCAATGTTATTTTTAGGTTTGACTGAATGGTGATTGAAATATGATAAATTGAACTTGATTGCAAATTAGTAGTAGAGAGTTTAAATTGGAACATGTATAGAGGTTTTATGCTTAACATAGTTACTTTCCAATATAAGTAGAGGAGAAGTCTCACACCCATCTATTTTTTCATTTCTTTTATATTCTTTTTCATGTAATTTTATTAAAATTACTTAAATTAAAAAAACAAAATAAATATTTTATCAATATTAAATTTAAAAGTACATAAAAACTAGGAATTTATTTTAAAAAACGGTTCATAAAATAAAGATTTCATTAAATTAACTAAAAAACTATAATTAAAAACAAAAACAAGTAAAGAAGTAAAATTAAAAAGTAGAATTAAACAAGCAAACAACAACAAAAACAAACAAGAAAGAAATTAAAAAGAAATTAAAGCAGCACAGAAGAAGTGAGGAAAGCATGGGAAAAAAGAAAGAAGAAGAAGAAAACTGGCGTGAGGATGGTGATGATCATCCTTTAGTCTTATGATTTAAAAATGGATGAAATGTGCTCGAATGTGTAGCTCAACATGAAATTGGTTCGTAAATTTAATTGTTTTTTGAATTCCTTTCATTTTCTTTTTTGAACGTTTTTTTAATTTCCTTTTCTCATACTCCCTCCGTCCCGGAGTATTCGTCCACTTTTGATTTTTGGAACTCTTCATCTAAGCACTTTGACTCATCAAATTCTCTCAATGTGTAAGCCTAAATATAGTCATGTGTGATCTTGTTTTATTTGTCTTAACATATACTCCGTAGATTATTAATATATAATTTCTATAATTTTTTAATATCCAAATTAGAAGATAAAATGGATTAAAGAAGTGTATTGGATGGTGTGTAAAAATGAAAGTAGACAAATACTCTGGGACAGAGGTAGTATGTCATTATAATATGGAGTTGAAATATATATTTCTTTCTAATAAGACACAAAAAAGAAAAGTGTAAACTTTCTCATGTGAAAAGGAGTACATTTTTCAATTTTTTTGCATAATTTTATTTACGTATTGACTTTTAAAATCACGTTTGAAAACAGTAATCAATTTTTTTCTAAAGTATATTGACTTATTACAATAATATTGATTATTAAATATAAATTTATAATATACAATATGCTACTATTTGTACTCTGTATATAATATTATGTATAAGCAAATTCTTACGTGTTCTTAAGGTCTATCTTGGTTTTATACACCTTAGTATATCAATATTATAAAAGAATTGAGTCTTTTACAAAAAGAAAATGATCAACTTGTTAGCCCATGAAAAATGCGAGAAGTTCCACATTTTACATGTGGATTTTAAAAGCACGAAATAACAACTCTTCTGTACAATACATTTAAATATGAAATATTTAAACGTTAATAGAAAACAACAACAATAACAAATCTAATAAAATCTCATAAAAGTGAGTTTGGAAGATGGTACGAAGAGATTAAGGACAATATTGTCCTTAAATTATCGTCTTATATTGAACAACATGCAAAATTTTAACTCTTTTAATTTGATTTATTTACAAATTAGTACAGGAAGTAAAAAATACAACTTAAATATTCAAAAATTACATCAAAAGTTTTACAAACAAATGGTGACATGTCTATTTACTTTTATCACATAATCAATAAAAACAAAAATTAATACTTTGAACTTCTTCTCCAGTTTGAATGGTAGAAAGACTACTCTCAAGATTCATGAGGATGTTCACCCAGGTTTGATTGTTAACAGAGGCGGAGACATTGACTCTTTGTATATATATGTCACTAGGTTGAGAAAGAAAGAACAAATAGTACTCCCTTTGTTTTCCAAAACAGTTTATCTTTTGTTTTTTCGTTTGCAACAAAACAATTTAATAAAAAATGACTAATATATTCAAATAATGTCGTTGTAATATACTTCATTAATTTTACATTGATATAATAAATTATTTAAAATAATTAGAAAATAAATATGGAAGAAGTCAAAATAAGAACTATTTTACCAAAACAAAGGAGGTATATCCTAAATATTGTGTTGTTTATAATAATTCTGGTACCCCAGTCTTTAAGTTAATTTTTTAGGTTGATTTGGTCTCAAATCTATTATTTCATATGGTATCGGAGTTAAGGTCATTGATGTTGGTTGGTACCACCCACAGTAATCTACACACCATGTGAAGGGAGCGTATTGAGTTCAAATTCCACATCAATTTTGTAATCTTATATTGCATTAGGCCTCGTTTGGTACACGGAATAAACTATGGAATTGGAATTGAGGACTTCAATTCCAATTCTCGTGTTTGGTAGTACAAAAATTATGTGGATTTAGAATTGGTAATGCAAAAAATGAATTAGAATTGGTGAATTCAATTCTATGGAATTGAATCTTATGGAATTTTAATTTCAATTCAATTCCAATTCCATCAATTCCGTGTACCAAACGAACACTTATAGTTATTTTGTCTTAATTTAAATTGTATATTTCAATTTACAATATTTGATTGAAATTATTTTCTATTCAATTTATATGGACGATTTGTGAGATCAGGAGATATCACATCTAAATTTCTTATGGTTTACTAGACACCAAAAAAAGATTTGAATATTTCTCGATATCATAAATCATTTTTCTTTTGCTCACCAAACACGCCAGAGTGTTAATTATGATTTTACGAAGTTAAATTATTTATTAAATTGAAGTTACATGCTTTTTTCATCCACAAATTAGTTTCCAGCTTCCTATTCTAGGCCCTTGGTAACTTTTGTTTATATATTCTGTAAGTATTTTCATTGATAATTTGATAAAATAATTTTTTTGTCACATCTTGTTTTTTATAAATTTCTGATATAATTTTGAAATATATAATTTATACTTTTAATTTCTATATCATTTTGTAAATAAAATATTTATAATTTTAAAATATATAAATTTTACACAGCGTTCAAAATGAAAAATTAATTTGTGGAGGGAGAAAGTAATTAGTACTCCCTCCGTCTGCAAAAAGATTCTTACTCTGACTTGGAGCCAAAATAAGGAAGTGTAAAATTATAGTTGACTTCTAATTTTGCCCCTGATGTGATGGGTAAAAGTAAGATGTGATGGATTGATTGTTAGAGAAAAAGTATGATGTGATAGGTAGAGTATGAAAAAGTAAGGGTAAAAGTGGTTTTTTAATAGAAAAGGGAAGTGTTTTGTTGGAAGTGAAAAAAATGAAAGAGGAAGTGTTTTTGAGAAGGGAGGAAGTAATTAAAATGAGTTTTTACACAACAACCAAGGAACTTAAATAATGTTCTTACTAACATGCAAATGTGTGTAGGGTATCAATTAATAAGTAGAAAAATCACTTTTCATAAATCATTTTTGTTTTTATTATCAAAACACAATTGGAAACACAACCTACCACTCACCCACTCATGTCCTACATTTCCCTATAAATACCACTCTGCCTTCCACGCTCTTTCTTCTAACCATGTGACCTCCTCTCCCATCTAAACCAACAAAAACCCAAATCTCCATTTCTATGCCATTCTCTCTTCTCCTCTAGAATGGGAATTACTGCAAACTAATGAGAGATCAAATCTCTCAACTTCTCTTAATTGGAACCCAGTAGTGGAGGATCTGTTAAGCTCAGGAGGGATAGCGCCACTGGTACTGACTGATGTGATACGTTTAATTTTCTTTTCAATATAATCGTTCACCCCATAAACGAGTGGTGGCGCTATCCATCCTGAGTTCCATAGCTCCTTCTTA